AAATCTGGAAAAAAAAGAAGGAGGGAAATCTGTGAAATTCTAATTTTCAAATCTAGATAGGAGAGAAAAAAGGGAAATCTGTGAAATTCCAGGTTTCAAATCTAGATAGGAGAAGAAAAGGGAAAGCTGTGAAATTCCAGTCTTCAAATCCAGATAAACAAAAAAAAAAGGGGGAAATTGTGGAATTCCAGTCTTCAAATCCAGATAAGCGAAAAAAAGGGAAACCTGTGAAATTCCAGTTTTCAAATCCAGATAAACGAAGAAAAGGGAAAGCTGTGAAATCTCAGATTTACTGTGCTTCGTCGATTGTATCGTTCGAGAACATCCACATCAAAGACTTATTAACGAAACACAAGACCTAGCATCGCGAGAGGGAGAGAATAAAATTCGCGATGGTTTCACGTGGAGAATTGCAGTTTAACGCTAACTCTCCTCAAATTATCCGTGGGCTCCATCGATTCACGGAGGCAAACGGACGAATCGATACAAAGGGTGGGTCGTTAGTAACGAAATCGGACTAAAAAATGCAATTGCACGGAAATCCAATAAAGCGTCAACCATTAAATCGAGCACCGGCTATCCCCTGGCCGGCCTGCCTGGATCAACAGGGACGCTCTCGTTCGCTCATTTTTTTCGGGGAACGCTCGCGCGTTAGATAAATCGAGAGTTAGCCCAGGAATATGCATATATCTTCAATCGAGATCGTTTCCCACGTTTTATGGAGAGCTTTTATTGCCCCGGCAAACCTTTCGTTTCGCGCGAAGAATGGAGTGGGCTTGATAATGCCGGATCAAGTGGTTTTGTTGGTTTCAGATCGACATACTGCATTTGTCTGATAACTCTTCGGCGATAAATATTCTTTCGAATATCACATTAACTGTATGTCTATATATTTCGATGTCTGAGGGAATATGACGTGTGTTTAATATTTTTCTTTTCTTTTATACCGGTAGCGAGACAACAAATTTTACATTTTCTTATCGTTGTTCTTTGTTGAAAGAAATTTTTATTTTGTCGCATTCTATATGTTCCAGTTAAATACAGCTAAATCAAATTATTAATCAATGACTACCTAGAGATATTCTTTTGTTCATATTATATTGCAATTAGTTTTCTTTTTTTTTATTTCTTGAATTAATTACAGAGGATTCTTCACAGAGAATCGTGAGCAGGTTACGTTAACGTGTTACAGTGATATGGGGAGTAACTTCCACTGTATGTACTTACATATACGCATACATATTATCGAAATCGCATTATGTCATAATTCTAAATCAATCTTTATTCAAACTGTCGTGTCCTCAAACACGAAACATTGACGCGACCGACGACCCCCCACGTTGACCTGTGACGCCGATTTTTACCTGCCAATAGACACTCGCGAAAGGGACCTTACTTCGGGAAAGGCGTTGATCGGCCCTTTCCTCGAACCTACAGCTGCGGAAAAATTTATACAGGGTGTCCCGTAAAGAGTGTAACACCCGGAAATGGGGGGTTGCTGAGGTGATTTTGAACAACTTTTTCCTTTACCAAAATGTTGTTCGAAGCTTCGTTTTCGAATTATCAACGAAAAACACTGGCCAATCAGAGCGCGCGTAGAGCCCCTGCTCAGGGACGGGCGAACAGAGATCACGCGTACGCTTGTTCACGATAGCGCGCGGGTGAATCTCTGTTCGCCCCTGCCTGAGCGGGGGCTCTACGCGCGCTCTGATTGGCCAGTGTTTTTCGTTAATAATTCAAAAACGAAGCTTCAAACAACATTTTGGTCAAGGAAAAAGTTGTTCAGAGTTACCCCAGCAACACCCCATTTCCGGGTGTTACACTGTTTTGCGGGACACCCTGTATATATATACATATACAGAAGTTTCCATTCTCTGATATGTCCATCGTGTACACGTGTATATATAGAGAGACACGAAAGTAATAAGTAAAAGGTAAAACTATTCTTACTAACGTCGCGCGCGTTCATTAACTAACTAAGCTTTTTCGCCGTCGAAAGAACGAGGTGTGGCTTCCGGGTGAAGAGGTTAACCAACTAATAGTTAAACTCTCGTAGTCTGCCTGACGGTGTTTTCTATGAGTAGCACGTAAAGCAATTCTGAGATACAATAAATGAACAAAGAAGAAGAAGAAGAAGAAAAAACATATATATTGTTCGTATAATCGGAGGAACAATTTTGTATAAAAAAGTACATCGAAACAGACTGTAACTGTGATCATCTAAGTTTGACGGAGGCGAGAAGATGAAGAAGCTATATAATTTCGTATGGGTCGCATTGAAGTAAAACGAAATATTAAATATCTCGGATAGGATCGATAAAAGTAAACACGTCATTTTCTCTCTGTAACAAACACACACACACACACACACACACACACACACTATTCTCCGTTCGCTTATCTTTTCCTGTTTTCAAACATGGATTGTAAACGTGGTTGTTGTTGCGAGAGCTGTGTGTTTAGTTGATCGATCACGTTAGAGAACAGATATTGAAAGGTTTCCTGAATTATAGGAGATTTTAATCGGAAGTTTTTAAACAGTGTACCGAATTTATTGTTGGTTTTTGGTTGTTTTTTTCTAGTCGACGAACGATCAGCCTGGAGGGATATAGAATTTGGGAAGAAAGTTGATCCACGTTGATCTTGAATTCTACAAATGTCTTTTTTTAATACTAATGCTTGGGGAAAATTGCAGAAAAAATTCTTACTTCTTTTAACTTACTGTTTTCTAAGAAATTAGAATTTTGAATATCTTTTTTACGAACCACTGGAATTCCCCTTTCTTTGAAAATTTAACATTTGAGAGAATTGAGGATACCTAAATTTGTGAATAATAAAGAAAAAATTAAATAGGCAAATATTGATAATTTTTTTTGTTTTTAATCATATTTTGAATTTGAATTTTGACGTGAGATTTCGGGATCAATCGCACACTTCCTTCTTAAATAGCAGGGAAGAAAATGCACGAAGGGATAAGTATGGTGGACAAGTAGAATGAGCAATATTCTCTAAAATAAAAGGCATTGTGTTACCTCTACGGTTGACTATTTGAATACTTTATCTCGTAATACTTAACGCGAAGTAAGAATCGAAGAGATAAGAGAGAAAACGAGTCGTGCTACGGTAACACGTTACAACTGCGTATATATTTTAGTATGGACATTGACAATGTAAAGGTTCATGTATATTTGTAATGATCGTATCGAATACGAGCGTCGGTTTATCTAATTTCCTTTTCCCAGAGTTGGATCAATAGAAAACTATTTCAAAAGCAGATTTTCGATTTACCAAAGGCATCGTAGCGAATAGAAAGAAAGAACAGTCGCGAGTGTACGAGATAACGAAGCGTCGCATCTTTAAGCATTTATCCTGTATGATAATTCTATTAAGTGTTAATTTATGGTTTCGTTGTAAGCTTGGTCGTAAATATTAGATACGGATCGTAAGTTTGAGATTTATTTGGTAAAAAAATATTTAATTTGAAATTTGGAGATTTCAGAATTTTTAATGCGAAATTTAGGGATTCCAATATTCTTAATTCGAAATTTAGGGATTTCAAAATTTTTAATGCGAAATTTAGGGATTACAAAGTTTTCAATTCGAAATTTGGGCATTCCCAAAATTCTTAATTCGAAATTTAGGGATTCCAAGACTTTTCATTCCAAATTTAGGGATTTCAACACTTGCCATTCGAAATTTGGGGATTCCCAAAAATTTCAATTCGAAATTTAGGGATTCCAACATTTCCCACTCGAAATATGGAGATTCCCAAAAATTTCAATTCGAAATTTAGGGATTCCAACATTTCCCACTCGAAATATGGGAATTCTCAAAATTTTCAATTCGAAATTTAGAGATTCCAACACTTTCCATTCGAAATTTGAGGGTTCTAAAATTCCTGATTTGAAAATTCGGGGATTCCCAAAATTCTCAATTCGAAGTTAAGAAATTCCAAAATTTTCAATATGAAATTTCAAAATTTCAAAATTTTCTATTCGAAATTCGTGCATTCCACCATCTAAAAATTCAAAACTTAACAAACTCTTTAATTTCAATATTTAAAATTATCTAAAAAGAAAAAAAATTATTCACGTACATACGACATTTCATTATTACTTCTCCGCTATATTACCCCAAAAATTACAAAAACCTGAGACGATTACCAAAGCGTTACTCTGCACGCAGATAATTGGCAAACTACAACTGGTCGCATCTGTCGAGCTACTCCATCTTAAAATACATTTACCAATCTCAAACTTACGTTCACTATCGCACATCAATTTTTCCATACGTAACACATCAAAGTTCGCCATTAAGTATTATAAATCGATGAAATTGTTACGCCTCTAGTTTGTATCTGTGATCGTACATTTTGTAAATTAGATTCTTAATTCTACCGTGAAACCTTAAGTTCAATTATGGTTTCCCCACGATGTACGTGCAACAGAAGATGCAGAAAAAAAACTTAAATCACATACATAATGTACTCTCTTACATCTCGTAGATAGACCGTGTTTTCGTCGAATCGATGAGGCAGAAATTCAACGTGTTCTCCTGCAACCAAAAAAAAGAAAAACGAATAAAAATAAAAATTTCACATATCTCGTACGTAAGAGGAAATCCACGAGCATTCTTTCCTCGCCTATTCTTTCTGCGCGTGTTTCAAGGATATTAATCGTAGAAATTATTAACATCGTCGGAAGCGTAGATACATTTCTGAAGATCCTGATAGATCTTTCGAGATCTAAAATAACGTTGAAATCTTTAAAAAGAATTGTTGGTAATCCATCAAGCTTTCCCTTTTTTATTTCAACATTTTTCCCCTATAATTTTCCATTGGGATTAAGACTCTATAAATTTTTCAATTTTCTAATTTTCCCTTCTTTAATTCTCCTATTTTTAATTTTCCAATTGTCCCATCTGTAATTCTCTAATTTTCACTCTTTCATTTCTCCAATATTTAATTCCCCTTTTCCCCTTTAATTTTCCTTTTTAATTAAAATTCTCCAAATTTTCGAATTTTCTAAACTTCTCATCTTTAATTCTCCAATTTTCAGTTTTCCAATCTTCTCTTCTTTAATTCTCCAATTTTTCAATTTTCCCTCTTTCAAATCCCCCATTTTTAATTTTCCAATTGCCCCTTCTTCGATGCCCCAATTTTCCAATTTTCTCTCTTATTTCCCCAGCTTTCCCCTCTTCTCGAAAATATCGTTCAACCTTCCCGAGGACAGAACAGTTTCGTTGTAACTCCACCGTTAAAATACACGCAATAACGTATCGAGGAAACTTCAGAAGCGGTATCTACGCTTTTGACCCGCGCGGCACGTTTATCTTGTAACACCGCGCCATCAGCTTGATATCGAACTTCAATTCCAAGGGTAATATCGAACCTCTATTCGCAATTTCAAAGGGTGTTTTAATTTGTCTTAGCGAAAAGAAACCGCATCGTGTACCAAAACAAAAATTCTAGAACCGCTTCTTGTACTTCTAAAAACCAAAGAAAAAAAAGAAAATATAAAACGTGTGTTTTCCATTAGTCTAATGTCGAAGGTAGACGTTAAACGAAGAAAAAGAAAGAGAGGAAAAACCGAATAAACGAATGAAATGAAAAAAAGAAAGAAAAAATATGAAATCAATCAGACGGTTATTAATCGACGAACAATAAGTAATAAGATCGTATCGTTCGTATTTACGTGTTGTAAACAATAGAGCAACAATTACACCTATACTTTCTCTCCGCAAACACGCTGAATATTACCGAATCGCAGAATAAAATAAAAAAAAGAAAGCAAACACGAAGAAGGGTATAATAATTTCTAAGGTATTTGTACATAATCGAGAGAACTAATAACAAACAAACCGTAGATGAGAAAAGATGAGAGGAAACGATATCGACCAAAAATTTCAAAAAAAAAAAAAAAAAAAAAAAACAAAAAAATATCGAATACTGAGTAATACACGATCTCCATCGTCTCGTTTTCATCCACGTGGTCGCGAAGAAAGAGGCGGAAATTTCATACCAAATCGGCGCGACGAATTTCGATCGAAAACGGAAAAGGAAAACGAAATCTCGCTTCAGAAGAGAACGGAAGTCGCGGGAGGCGAACGATCCAACTACGACTTCCGTTTGCACTCTGTCTTTTTTCTCTGTCCGCCTAGCGCCCGTTGTTTAGCAGTTCCTGTTTAGTGCCACGCTTTGACAATGTTTTAGCGAATCATTGTCACACCTCCCCGACGATAAGTGGCGAATTTAAAAGAGTATGCGAACGACAAGTAAATTAATAATAATAATAACAATAATGATAATATCGATTAATTAAAAGAGAAAAAGTAAAAAAAAAAAATGGATAAAAAGAAAACTGTTTATTAGAACCGTCTCGAATTGGAGAACGGATTCGATGCAAGTTTCAAGTGTATAGTAATCAGCAATGTAGGCGCCTTATATCCAATAAATAACTTGTAGATTTGAAACCAGCTGTGTTAATGATAGCCCCGTTTTTTTTTATTTTTTGAGAGAAGAGGATACCGGTAAGGTGAAATTCCCATTTTACGGTGGAAATTTTTTTTTATGAACAGAGTAGATAGTTGAATATAGTATTGATATTTTTATTCAATTATTTCGAAGATATTTCTAATATTGATTAAATTAGTTTTTCAAAATTGTTAAATAATTCTGTTATATTGATAAAAATTGAAAGCAAATGTTTTACGGTGGAAATTTGTTTGTGAAGAGTAAATAACTTCGTACAGTACTGATAACTATATTCAATTATTTCAAAGATATTTCTAATATTGATTAAATTAGTTTTTCAAAATTTGTTTAAATAATTCTGCTATATTAGTAAAAATTGAAATAAAATATAGGAAGAATGTACATTACAGAGCTCCCTTTTTAAACGTCCCTCGTTCAATGCAACAACAACGTCCACCAACGTAGCAGCAATTGATTTCACGATCGAAAGCGCGTCTTTCATTAGCCTTAATTCGCTAACGAAACACTTCCGTGTCTTCCAAATGACGCACGGTAAATTTGTAATAATTACGAATGGCTAATTAACGATAAATTCTTACAACTGTTCCTAATCGAATCGATACATCCTTCAAAAATATCTATATTATTAAAACAATTGTCACGAACACAATAACAGAGCATTGAATAACGAAACGATATCCACTATACAGGGTGCTTCAAAAAAATCTTGACAATCATTTAGAAAAAAACGAAACTGATAACAGGATAACGAAAGAATGTAACCTATGCAAAAGAAATAAAAGTTTCCATATAAAAAAAATAGTGCGACTGTAAAGTACACATGCAACCTTGAACCTGTGAAAAAAGTATGTTACCGAAAATATAACACTTTTTTTCTAATTGCAATCAGAAAATCCTTAAGAGGTAAAAAAAGAGATAAAACTCCAGTTACGTGGACCACCCTGTATACACACTACCGGCCAAAAGTTTGGAATCACCTTCCACTTTTCATCAATATTAAATCTGCTGCTAATTTTTTATAGATTTGAAGTTTATCTCAATTCTACATTTACCAATTTATCTCATACCAATTGATTCGAATGATCAAAAATTCGCAAAGTCGCTGCCTTTTTTCTGGAAATTTTTGTGTAAACTGCAATGCTCGGTGA